GGCAAACTTGCTGAGGGTTAGGTAACCCTAACCTTAACTATGCCTGCTTTTTATTTTTCATATTTTTCCTGAATCAGGCTTTTAATCTGCTTGATCACACTAGAATAATTTCTATATTAGTTTTTAAGCACTTTAAATTATAAAAGTCTGTTAAGCACAGAGGAAAACCCTGCCATCTGCTGCAGTCTAAAATGGTTTGGCTAAAGAAAGAAACTTTGTCATAAATCACTGTTACATAAATTATTCGTGTGTTTGTCTTGCATAAGTTGGACCCTTTTCTGCTGTGTAGGCCTTACATAAGGGACAGGGTGTAATTTCAGTCTCTGCTCTTCAGGTGCCCATATACGAGTTGCAGAATGATGGCCGAGCCAACCTTCTGGGGGCACTGCTGTTTGCTGGGCAGTTCGTGATTCCTGAGGTCTGTTTGCCTGTGAAAATTGTCTCGGAAACTGCTTTTCTCCCTCTAGGCCAAACACATACTTACATACTCAAAATATCCGGTAGGCAGTAAGGAATTACACTTAAACGGGAAGATAAAATGGATTCTGCTGAGGTAACAGGCACTTGTGTGGCAAAGCACGTGCTGTTTTCTCAGGATTCAGATCCCATTTTGCCCATATATGATCTAAAAAGGCTTTCAAGTCTGAAGTGTAGCTTGCAGCAGACTTGAAATCAGAGGTTCCCTTGCAAATATGTGGGATCTGAAACACCTGTAAGTAATTTTTTTTAACTGAAAGTTACTTTGAAGTTCTAAAATTGCTCTAGAACTGGTAGTAGTGTCTTCTAGCTCTAGTTCCTGAAGACTGAAGTACCAAGGATGATATTCTGTGTACCTAATGGACATGGAATTACCTCCATGGTCTTTCCAGGCATCTTTATAATTAGTAACAACCTTTATCTCTTTTTCTTCAAATTCCAATTGACAAACTTTAAGGGACTTTGAAGGAACCTAATTATTTACGTGTGGTAACTCTTGAAAGTTATCCTAATTTTCCCTAGGCCTTTTGTTAAGATTTTGGACTCTGAATTTAGAGACAACTGATAAATTTATTAACAAGTCCACACTGTTTCTTTCCTCTCCCTCTGAAGTGGGCTCGGGTAAATTTGCTGTCTCCTAGACTGTGCCTCATGAGAGGATTACGAAACTAGTTAGCTCTTAACTTGTTTTGTTCTTAAATTCTTAAACCAATATGTGACAGATGTGCCAGCTCTTCTTGAAAGGGTAAGAGTTGTAAACATCTACTAGCCTCTGAGTTGCTTTAAAGATTTAGAAAACACTTTATAAAGGACAGACTACAGTATTTATCTACTGAATCTTTTAATTACTAGCTTATTCATAGACCTGTTTCTTTACTTGTCTTGCAGGTGTGCCTGTATTTTTATAATAAACTGTACAGGGGAAATAGGGTGACTAAGGTGGATGCTGGGAGTTTCAATGCCTTTTCCTCACCTAACCTGCCTCCACTTGCAAATGCTGAGGTTGATATTACAGGTAAGCAACATAATCTCGTAAGCCTTGTAATTTATGCCACATGCACTAGAACTCTAGCTGAAAAGAATCCATGCCTATGTAGTTGCAATGCTGCTTTTAAACTCAAATATCTTTGAAAGCCCTGTAGCTTGACTCCACTTTATCTGCTCTGAAAGTGTTTAGATGTTGGTAAGACTGAGAACCTGTGACCCAGCTGCGTTTATCTATTGAATATAGATGTGAGCTAGACTGACTTTGACTAAAGATCCAGAGTAACCAGCGGGAATGTTGCCCCTGTGTCATGAAAATGCTTGCTCTGGAGATAAAAATGAGGGAGTGAGGACTGAAAGAACGACGAGTTTAATCTTGTTAATGACCACGCTGGGCTCTGAAATCAGGCAAAAGATTCATTGCGGAGTACTTGCAGCTTCAACAGATTCTCTGTTTGATGCATGTCATTGTGCAAGATGTTTTACTGGATATTTAGGACCTGTTTGAACTGCAAGCACACTGAAAACAGCAGACTTAGAATATGTGCTGTGTGAAGGGTTTTTTTCCCCAAGCTTACTCAGGCTCCCTGTAATTTCTGTTTGTTTTCTAAGGAGCCATTAACAAATGGCAGAGCCATTAACACATTGATGTCTGTTCTTGGATAAACTACACCTTTTCTTTGGAGAGGGGAGAAGAGAGACACATTTGGAATCCAGCCAGATGAGGAGTTGCTGGAAAAAAAACCATACTAAAGGAGAGTTTGAAAAAAATAAAATGTTTGGTGAGCTGCTTTTGGATAGACTAGATATGTTAAAAAGGAGTAGGACTTGGCGACAATCTCCATGATTACAAAAGCCTAGGAACAGGAAGGGGTTCCTGAATTCTTTTGCTAGGTGCTGTTAGTGGCAGCAGGAAATCTAGCACTGTGCCACACAGCGTGCCATTCTGAGTGGTTTCTACTACTAGAGACATTCTGCAATTTGGAAAAATAAACTTATCCCTTTCGCCTAATGAGTAGGAGTTATTTAAAGTTTCAGGATGAAAATGCAGGATCTGTAGCAGCTAGATATAGACTGAGGAAGCCTATGAAATACTGTAGTGGTCTCTAAGAGTCTACCTCTGTTGTATTGCTGTGCCATGTCAAGTGCGGATGGCATTCATCAGAAACGCAGTCAGCTGCTTGTTGCAGTAAACTGGGGAGAATGTTCTTTCCTGGGTTTTTACGAACTGCATCAAATAGGGTATAAATAAATTCTCTTTACTGACTGATCAATAACAAAATCAAGCTGCAAATTGCAAGCTATTTCTCTTGGATTTGAATGAACTGTTTTGTGATTCCTTGTCTATAGGAGAAAAATGAGAACGTTAAGTACTTCCCTTGGCCCATATTGGTTCCCATTATCTCTTCAGTAAAATGCCCCATTGAGATCAGTGGGGATTTCTGATCTGAAAACTGATGGTGTGGTAGGCTCTACTTTTATTTGTTTCAGTTGATTACCCAGTTAGGGTAGCATCATTTATCCAAGATGACAGTGTCAATATTGAAGCATTGTTTCATTTTGAAAAAACGCAGTTTATAGTATGGGCAATCTACTAGTTCTGCTTTGTTTTGTCCAAAGTAATTGTCTGAAACATTACTGTCTCCCTTGAGTTTGCTTGTATGATCCTCGTATGAAGCTTTCATGGAGACAGTGAACCACCTAGGATTTCAAAAACAAACCAAACAAATCTAGCATCTTTTAACTTCTTTTTTTCCAAATTACTTTGTATAATGTGTTTTAATCCTTCTGTAGACAGGACTGACTCTTGCTGCTTCAGCATTATGGAGAGCAGCCTGACTGTGCCAGGAGGAATAGGCCATGTGCAGAAACTCTTCCTCAGACTTCCCGATTCTAACAAAGCTGGGAATCAAAATTCCAGAGAAGCAGAAGGGCAGAGATGAAAACATGGAGGGGGTGGGGAGCATAATGGGATCATGGGTTGGTACACAGGAGTGAGGAGGGGACATGCTCTTCGACGCTAAGGCATACAATATAAAAGCAACACTCCACTTCGGAGCCATAGGGAAGGAACTTAGTCCTCTTCCCTTCTCTGTCCTGGCTGCAGCTCTCTACTTCATTTTCAATATCTCTGTTCCCTCTTAGGTGAGGCTCCCAGTGGATTTCAGATCCATCAGCTGTGGATAACTCAGGTGTTGCTAACACACTTAAGAGTCCTGTTACCCAGTTTTAGATAGGCCAGTGTGTCATCTTCCTTGAGACTTTCAATTTAGCACAAGAAACTCCAGTGAGAAGTGAAAAATTCTAGCCCACTCCTGAGATGAGTAGGAAACCCAGTTCTGATGGGAAAAACTTTTGTGGCAGAATCGGAAATCTCTGTATGAAATGTACCATGTAGAAGTAACAAAAAATATTTCTAAATTCTTAAAGTTTATCAAATAAAAGACCTTGCCTTATTTCTCTCATTTTGAAAACAGGAGAGACAAGGAGGACTATTTCACTTGAAGTGTGCAAAGAGTCTCAGTATATTTCATAACAGATTATTCTCCTCTGTTTTCGATTGTCTTAATGAAGCAAATATGAAACTTGCCTCGTTATCATGGCTGGACTTTCTTCATCACACATGCATGAAACTTGTGGGAGTGGTGCACATGTTCAGGACCGTATGATGAGAAGCATAACTTGTGTAGGGGACAAACAGAGCCCGTGTGACTGCATGGAGGCATGGTGCAGCAGCAGCAGGTTTAGAAGGCACTTTGGGGTTGTCTGTCCACCAGTCTCATTAGAGAGAAGCTATTAGTCACTGGCCAAGTCTGTGTTTTGGTTGGCAGTTCTGGTTATTAATAGTAAAAAGCCCAAGTCCTTTATGTATTAAGGCAAATGCCAGCTCACTTCACTGAGGTGCTTTTGGTGTTTCCCCCCTTTGTAAGTAGGCATGTCGATTCTTGACATGACACCATTCAATTTAAATATTCATTTCAAAAGGTGTGTGCCAATTTTGTTGTATAACAAACTGCCAAAAAAGGGGGTCTCTGTGTGTTTGCCTGCTCTGGGAATTTGCACCCATAGGTTGGCCTGCGCTCCCCAGCGCTTGGCTGCCGCCATGAATTGTAATGAGCGCTGGGGTAGCTTTTATAATGGTAGGGCTCACCTGTAGCCTTGCAGAGAAGGATGAGAAAAAAGCTTCGCTCTTTGTCTGGAGCTCAGCAGTCACGAAAAGCTGTATTTCTTGTTTGATTTCATAACTCGGAGTTCAGTCACCACTCCTAAGGGAGGTGTCGCTCTTAGTTGCTGCTCTACCATTATAAGTTGAAACCTGCGTTGTGGCATAGATGCTGTTTAACAACAAGAGGTGTTTCTGCTGCTTTCTAGACTCTGTAGAGCTGCTTCTCTTTTTTTTAATTTTATTTTTAAGTCAGATTGATGCCTTTTCTGCACTAACTTTATCGTCATAGCGTGTGTGTGTGGATAAAGCTGGATAAGACAATGTATTTTTTTGAGCTGTAACTTCAAAAGCTGTAGTGTTTGATAGGGAGGGGGAGATTGGAAGTAGCAGAGTATTGTTTATGTGATGGTTTTGTTTCGAAGAATAAACAAAAGGCCTTAGGATCTTGAATATAGTCTCCTTGATTAATGCAATCTTTCTTATCCCAAGCCATTTTGGATACAGTATATAAATAGCTGTTGCCTCTTTATTTTATGTACATTGCTTTAAAAAACTCTTTTTTGCTGTGTGAGACCAGTAGCTAGCTGTTTGTTCCTCAGCTTTGTACCCGTATTTACATAATGCAGTACACTCTATTGGTTAAACTCTTTACAAGCACAGGCCATCCAAGTCAGAGCAGGTTACTGTTTTCTGTGTTGTGCCAAAAGTGAATATCCCTAATTAGTCACTCTCATCCATAGGATAAAAAACTGTTATGAACACCAATATATACAGCTTTCTGTACTTCACCTGCTTGTATATGAGTTTCTTAAGAACTGCTAGTGATTCCTGAGACTTTCTACACTTCCTTGGTTTAACTAACAAAAGGATGATTGCAGTGTGGTATGAATATAGGGTTCAGGACAGGTGGTTTATTCAGTACAATGAAGATGCTTGAACTTAGCTATTCAACATAAATATTCCTTCTTTTTGTGGATTTAATCTCTGAGGTGGAAGATGCAGGGGGTGTCTTCTAAATTCCTGCCCCCTGCATGGAGCTCTGTCTCACAACAGTTCTGAATAAATCTGAGATTAAGTCACGCGTTTATGTGTATTTGTTTGTCTTTGTCTCTTGCATCACACTTGCCTTTTGTTCTGCTTTTTAAACTCATTTGTCTAATGGAAAACTGACATCTGTGGAGTGTGCAGTACTGATCATATTATGTGGGCTGACCAAGAGAATGTTAAGGCAGGCACAGTCTTAAGTTCTTTTTTTAATATAGTTTGGAATTACATCACTTTACAATGTCTTCATGCATTATATTTACCTTGATGTTATGTTATTTGGTAGAATATTCAGAGTACAGGTATAGGCCTGGTATAGGTCTGACTTGTGAACCTATCCCCTTGTCTCTCTCCTTGGTCTTTTGCTTTTGGCAATATCTTGATGATCCATACCAAGGCAGGTTTCCTCAGTTCATTCTTCAATTTCATCACAGGCATTAGGGACGCTAAGAGTTGCCAAACTTAGTAGTATGCATGTGTGAAGCATTGTCAGGCACTCCTAGCTTATGGAGGATAAAGGAAAGAAAGTGCTGATGCAATTTAATTGCCATCTCTTCTTACAGAGGAAGCTGCCTTTAAAGAATTAATCTGTGCGTTAGAAGGTTGAAAGCACTGTATTTATTACTAAATCCTGCTGCTTCGTAAAGTATGGTGCTCATGAGTGAATGTGGTTAGCCAGGCGTATGAACCTCAAGCAGAACAAATGCACGGCTTTCTGCACTTGCCCATGTACCTCCTGCAGGTCTCCAGCTTGCTCTGGAAAGCTCATGGAGGCCTTTGAGAGCTACTTGGATAACTACTGAATCCAACCAGGCAGTTTCAGAACTATGCCAGCCAGCTTAGCACAAAGAAAGAAACTGCAGGAACAGTCTATATGTCTGTTTTCAGAGCATTAGGAATCCACACGCCAAAGTGTAACTGGCTGGACAAACATGATGCCAAGCCAACTGCACGTGACTTGTGTAATGACTTAGGGTATCTTTTTAATACGACCATATAAAGGCTCTAGTTGCTGACAGGACACCAGGACAGAAAGGGAAAGTTTGTGAAGTCTTTAGAGGTGACTGCTGTTTCTGTCCTGGATTAATGGACTGCGTACTTTTTAGTATCTCTAGTAGTAGGGCGACAGGGTAGGCTTCAATGGAGGCTTTTAAATGGACTCTGAATTTTCTTGCAAAGGGCTGTTTGCAGATTGCAAGAGATTGCAACAGTAATTGGTGTGAGTAACTCTCCACATGGCTGAAAGCAGGTTGGTATTATGCACGCAGATTTTTTCATCTGTCTTGCTGCTTGGGAGTTTCTCCAAAATGTACAAATCTTAAATCCCCATGAGGAAAGAAGTAGCTTTACGGCATGGTCTGTTTTCATTGAAACGTGGTGCTCTGAACTGTTGGTTGCTGCTTAAGCCTCTTCCACTGCCTTGTAGGAGCCGTCAGCACTACCAACGCTGCACTCCTACACTGAAGTAGTAAAATTTTAAAATCAATAATGCATGACTTGGCTTCTAATAATGCAACACAAACAAACTATTAGTTAAACAGCTGGCTTCTGGCTCTAAATGTATAATTGGAGTTAATTGAATCCTTGCTATTTTATTTAATCATTAGTAACTACCTAATAAACTCTGGAGGTGATTAGCGGCAACAGTAACTGCATTTGTCATCTCTTATGTCTGGGAAGATGGAGGTCTGTTTTCTAAACATGAATCCAGGCTGGTATCGGGCCAGCTACGTATCAATGAAGTTCAGGTCAGTGCATGACAGGTAATATCTCACCTATGCTAGACCTGCATGCCACACTGAGGCTTTCTGAGCATTCCAGACTGGGAGAGATGGCCCGAACGGGACACATCCAACATCCTGAACCCATCAGGTCTAGTACTCGGATGCTTTTCAAAGCTACCAGACTTATCTTCTGGAGAGGCTGTAGTAGAGCTACACAGCTTTGTGTCTGGTAGATCATCCTGTTCACTAATGGGCATGGAACTAAAATACCCATTTTGGAAGTCTTTGCTATACAGTGTTATTGAATTGAAGTGTATGTGTTAAATACCTCCTTAAAGAGCACTAACTTAGAAATAATGTTGTGTAATTCTGATACATCTCTGAAACTAGACTGTTTTGGAATTAAAGCTAAAATATAACACAGTTGAGCTTGACCTGGATGTGGCCTTGAAGACACATTTTGTGGTACCTAATAGATAAGGTGTGTTAGATCAGCTGCTCTGGCTGCTGTCTTAAATGGGCCTTTATTTCCTCTTTTCAAAAATACATTGTCTATCATGAATCTCCTACATAGGAAACAGTTTTAAAGACAATGTTGTAAGTATGAAGTGCTACAAGTGTACTTAATATTATGTCTTCCTATTAAACTAAAAGGCCATTTCTCTTTAACAGTAAACTGGGAAACTGTGTGGAGAGCCAACACCAAAAAGAAATTTCAGGTTCACACCAATATGAACAGGAATGTTGGGCTGCTACGAATCTTTCCAGGAATCACTGCTGCTGCTGTAAGTGTCACCACGCCATTTTGGAAGTCCTCGAAGTGATGCTCAAATACTTGGTTAGTTAGCTGACGTAGGGAAGCTGCATTGTTGTAGCAGTGGTTGGGGGAAGGGAAAGGATCTGATGAACATTTCTTCGGAATATCAGAGGATTCAAAGACTATTATCATAAACTATTGATAAAAGCTTTTTGGATCTTTTGTCTAAGCCACCTGGGGTCTGAAACTTAAAATTAGTTTCTTGTCAGGGCTCGTAAATAGGTCAAGTGTGCTTTTCTAGATGGGTTACAGTGACCATGGAAATGCTCTCGTGCTGCACATTGAGGCATAGTAATAGATACCTTGTCACAGAATACACGGTATGGGGGGTGGAGGGGAGCGTGACTATTTCTACAGCTCGTGCTTCTTTTTTAAGGTTCATTTTGTCTCACACTGATGGTTAACATGACCCCCAGCCATCTCACAGAGCTGAGAATGAGAAGTGGGATTTTTTTTTTTGCCTTTAGAAATTATTTTGCAGTGCTGTGGTTTTAGGTAGATTTGTCTTTAGATTTTTGTCTAATACTAGTTCAATTAAATTGACAGGTCTTTTGTGGCTGCTGCTGTTTTAAATTGAATCCAGTAGTTTAAGCAGCACTCTTCAATTACATTGCTATTCTTTTTGAGAGAATATGAACAGATGGAAAGGCAGAGGGGTGGTATATTTGCAATAAAACTCCAACTGCATAGTTAGCCTCATGGGGGCTTACAGTGTATTGCATTTAGCATATGTGATCAGCAAGGAAATGCCTAGGTTGTTTAAAATTCATCTTTCTAGGAAGAGGACTTTGCTAGGCATCCTCTTACAGTGAGCCACAATAGCTGCATCATTAACAACTGCCCCAGAATGAATTAGTGCCTTCTTTTTTTTTTTCCCTGCCTTGAGTTAAATCAATTGAATTTTGAGTTAAAAAAACTGCAGGCTTCATTAGAATGTTTTTTCCTGAAAGGTGAGACACTGTCTTTGTTAGACAGAGATTTGTTAACAAAATGCTTCGAAAGTAACAAATCTGGGCAGGGCTGGGGGTTCTAATCTCAATTAATAATTCTGCATTTATTTGTAAGAGTAAATCTACCCTTTTGTTCCGTGATGGTGCAACAGTACAGCCTGTTAATGGCACGTGAGCAATAGCATCCTGTTTCACGTTGAGGTCATGATGGTAGAAAATAGTTTATTTTAAAATCTATCCTTCTAGGAATTTGAAAGGAAGCTAGAGAGTGAAATTATCTTTTTTTTTTTTTTAAAGCTTATTCTACAGTCCCAGTTATTGCAAATGGGGAACCCAGAAGGACACAAGACGACCGCAAGGCGTAAGAGCCTGCCAGACTATAACAGGAATAGAGCATTTTGAAAAACTGTGTAATGTATGAAAATCTTGATGGGGCTTAAACACAAAATCTTGATGGGGCTTTTGTTTCTTCCTTGTCTTGTTTTTAAACAGGTAAAAGCATTTCTTCAGCCTCCAATTGAGGGCATTGTACTTGAAACTTATGGAAGCGGCAATGCTCCAAACAACAGAGAAGACTTGCTGGAAGAACTGAAGAAAGCAACTGAACGGAAAGTAGTGATTCTGAACTGTACGCAGTGCTTACGAGGGTCTGTTAAAACAGTCTATGCAACAGGACAGGTAAGGGTTTTTCAGTCATTTCAGACTCCACTGCTGTAGAAAAGAAACATCCCACTGATACAGCTTGATTGTATGATTCTAGCAGTCCCAGTGTATAAACCCAGATTTGTTAAACTCTAAAGATGTTGCTCATAAAATAACTGTATCTGAAAAATTTTACACTGGAAGGATTTAAATACATATCTGCAAACAAGATCCTGTCACTCCTAGTCTGAATGGTCAAAGCAGTGAGCTCAAATCCCAATTAGTGACTGCTGGCTCTTGTTGTGCGCAGCGCTGCAGGATACCTTGCATTAGATCAGTAGTATTGCTCCCAAAGGGACTCCGCTGAGCTAGAAGCTAGCTCAGGGGTCAGATGATCAAATAAAGTAGTATTTGATAGGCTAGCAGTTACTTAGCTACAGTGCAAGAACATCAAGAAAGCCTGCAAATCCAGGTGATATTCCAAATCCTATTTTTTTTAATTGACTGGAAGTACCTGAATTCAGTGAGATTGGAGAACAGTATGTAAGGGAGTGTCTGCCTTGCAGAATGGCAATCGGTTGTGTTTAACTCGTGAAGGCTTAAAGCAGACTTTGTGTAGACACAGTTAATGTTCAGGGAATTTTACAGTGAGTTTCTCAATTGTATATTAAGACATGACCTCACTGGGACCAAGAAGAGCCCAAAGCCATTTGAATGTTGCATGTGGTAGTGTGAAGGAAGCTGGTTTAACTGGCCTTTGTAAAAAGGCTAGCCATTAAATAGCCAGGAAGCACTGCCAGAGGGTGACTCATCCCCTGGTTTTAGACACCTGGTTTTGTTGGGAGCAACCGCCTGTCTGGCAGAGCCAGCCTCTTCAGTGACTGCATGGTAAACCTAGCTACTCTAGTCTGGTGCTGAACCCTGCCTCTTGACGTTGGTTTCGAGACAGCTTTAGATTATATTTGCTTCAAGAACACATGCTCTGGTTTGAGAAGAAAGAAAAAGAGATTCTAAGAGTTTCTTTCCACCTCTTCAGTATCTAAACGTGGTGTTTTCCGATATGGGCAGTCATTTGGGTGTTGGTAAGACTTTTGTATAACTTAATTGAGATGTTTTGAGAAGTATTAACTCTTCCAAAGATCCCATGCTCTGTAGCAAATACGATAGGAATACATGGATTATATAAAACAGTACACATGGAAGAAAGCAAGCAGTTAAGTCAATAAAAGACACCAAACATACTGTTTTTCATGTTGAAAAACAACATGAAAATTAAGCCTAGCTTTGGTGTGATCTTCTGCTTGAAATGAACTGCTAAAATATATGGAAGGAAGGAAAAAACACTCTGCTTAGAAGAGTCTCCAGATAGACACCTCTAAAAGGACTGTTTGCACTCTGATCTGGACTGTTGGTAGGCTGAATTGAAAGATTCTGCTCACGCCTTACAGAACCACTGTAAGGCTGTGTGGAAATGTGTTCACTTTTGGCTTCTGCTTTTTATATGGAGAAGGTATTATGTGGCTTCAGCATCTGTTGATGGAGGCTGCCCTGTTTTCTTGCCATCTTTTGAGAAGAACACTGACAGAGGCAAGTCCTACAAAATTCATGCTGCTTCTATTGCCTTCTTCGTTTTATAAAAAAATGCTCAATGGAGAAAGTATCATGGCTGAATGCTGGAAAGTTGCTGTAATGTTAACTTTACTTCGATTTTTCTTTAAATAAAATCTTTCACAGGTCTTTGCAAATGGCTAGGCCATTTTTTACTCATTCAAGCTAGCCAGGTGGGTCAGCCGAGTCCCTGGTTTCCCTTGAAGTGTTTGTTTTAATTAACAATGTCTGGCCTCTGATCCATCTGCACAGTAGAAGCTTATAACTGAAGGGACTTCAAGTATAGGAAGCAAGCTGGGAAATCCCTTCCTTCTCCTCTTTCTCAAACCTGATGAAAAAGCCCTAACTGTTCTTTGGCTGGCTCTGCAGTACAGAAAATACTTCTCATCTTCTCTGTATATGTTTTCCTATGGGACTTTAAAAAATGTTAGTCTGAGGCTCTATGAGGTGGTCAGTGAGCTGATTAAGGCTCTGTATCTTGCTAAAAATATTAGCTAAGCCACAACAAGTTTCAAATCTGAAGTTTATATACAAGGTATGTAAAAGTAAAATGCAATGTAAAGAACTTACAGCAAGATTCTTAACTGTGAGGCATCCTGTTGTGGAATGATGGTGATCTGTGGTTTAGAGAAGCCCGAGTGTTTGACCAGGTACAATTCAGTGACGAGATCAGAGATCTCCTTTGCTATGGTCAGCAAGCCTTGTAAGCATACAGTGAGCAAAATAGCAGAAGTCAAAGATCTTTCTGCCTTTTGCTTTGGTTCAGATAGCTTAGGGTTCTTAACCACCAGAAAGATAAGTCTAAAAGGTCATCTTTTTCAGATGTTCTTGTCAGAACTGTGTAAATAACATATTTCAGTTGTATGTTCTAAATCATACACTGCTAGTGCAGCCTGAGAGGATCTGAAAACACTCCTGCTGTGAGCACACTGTAGTGCTGGAATTCATTCAAAACAATGCCCCATAAAAGAATGGTAAATATGTCTGTGAGAACAGCCTACTTGGCAATGTTCAAAATGCCACCGGCTTGAAACACAGTAACTGCAGCTTTTCAATAAAGGGAATCTGACAACTCTGCAGATAGCTGATACGAACCTGTAACCTTTCCCTTTTAGCATAGTAAGTGACCGTGGCAAGCGTTTGGGTGAATTCTTCAATGTTATTGCATGAAAAGGAATTTAAGTCATCTCTATTCATCTGGCTCTAGTATTTGCCTTGGTATTTGATAACAAAAATTACAGTGGCAGTAGGAGGAGCAAGAGAGTGGAGGCACGGCTGCATGCTGTATTCTGTAGCCACTCATTCATATACATTTTCTGTTTGCGCAGGTATTTCTGAGTGCTATGCTAATTGGAATCATTGTTCCTTTTTATTCAGACTCTCGCTGATGTCGGAGTAATTCCTGGAGGTGATATGACACCAGAGGCAGCCCTAACTAAACTGTCATACATACTCAGCAAGTGTAAGCTTAGCTGGGAGGAGAAGAGGCAGGTAAATATTTCAGCGTGACCTTGAAAGACTTTAACTTTCTCATCTGTTGTGCTAACTTCTGCTTAGCTGAATGCCTTGAGCTTCTCCCTTGCATTATAAAGCAATTGATTTCAGAGCCATAATGTGAACATCACGTGGTGGTGGTTTGTTTTTTTTCCTTAAGGAAAATACTGTTATGCAAATGAATGTATGTAGATTGGGAGAGAAAAGAATTCTCTGCAGAACTCAGGGGAAGACTGTAACCCAGCCATAAAAATATAAAAATGCCATCTTTAAACAGTAGTAGTCTACCTTGGACATCTCTGTACTAAAACCCATGTGTGGAAATACATATGAGAGATAGACTCCCAGCCCTGCTGAAGTCAGCAAAGATCTTGTCACTGGTCTTAGTGTGGTAAAGATTTCATCCAAGACTCATTCACACAAAGCTAATTCTGAAAATAAATATTGCCTCTTCCTTTACAGCATTATTCATGACAGTGTTAGATGTTGTTTCTCTAAGAGGGATACATTTGACAAATAAATAAAAAATGGGATTATTCTAAAAACAAATTGTAACTGGTTTTAAAATTGTAACCCCTTTAACAATGTTCTTACTGCTCATTGATGCTTAATCCAGGCTTTTTTCCTCAAATTACATAGTTATATATCATGTTTCTTTTATATAGTGAACACAGCTCTGAAATAGATAGGGGAGCAGCAGTCTGCAGGAATGGACGTGTGTTCTGTGCTTGTATGCAGTGAAATCATAATCCTGACACTTTGGGAGATGACATCATGATGAGTCATTCTCTAGGCTTAAGCACTGCATGCACATGTGTGTCTTATGATGGTATTTTGCTTTTATTAAAACGGAAACAGATTTGATTGTTATTTCATGCTCAACATCTTCCAACCAGTAGCAGCTATTGAGACAAATGTATTTTGGATACCTGTGATCGGAAGCGGGGTGGCTGGAAGCACCACTTACCATGCTTAGAAACAGTCTCGGACCCTGAGCTCTTGGTTGTTTGCTAAAGCCCTGGCTCTGAAAATTGAGAGGAGGAGGAGCTAGGTGTTTCTTTGTTGAGGATGGCAAGAACATACCCTGTGCAAGAACGTGCTTGGCAGGCAACATAATGCTGTGTGAAGAGTAGTGCTACTGAATGTGTTTGTGTATATCCACCTCAGAAACCCTGGCTCTTCACTGGTGCCCCTTTGGTACACTCACTGAGCCTGGAACATACATACAACAGCCGTTTTTTCTTAAGGCAGAATTTAGTCTTCTTGCACAGAGGATTATTTGACCTGGGACAGGAGAAACTTTCCCAGCTGGCTTCCTGCCTAGGTGTGTGAGTTAAAACTTAATTTGAGATCCAGTTTGCTGAGGTGAGATAGCTGACTTACTCAGGTGAGGACTTGGTGATAGGATGTTTTAGGTACTGCTGGCACAAGGTACCCCTGCATCTTCATGTGCTGTCCTTTGGAATGTGCTACATTTTTTGTGTGGTGGTGTTGAGACCTCCTTTACATGGTTTGAAAACCAAAATAAGTTTTGCAATTTTTTTGAGTTAAGCAGGATCAGTTTCCTCACTTGACTCATTGTACAGACCCACAAATGGTTTAGTTGGCACAACTAAGGGAGCAGCGTGCTGCATTGCCTGGGCAGGAATGAGTGGTAGAGACCAGGAGAAGAAGAAAGCCTGGAAATATGTTGTCTGTGGCAATATCTTCAGCTAAACATATCACCAAACAATAGTCTCCCAAGAGACGGGAAGCTCTCCTGAAGCTGGCGTAGTTATTTTAGGATTCTCTTTCAACACCAAGAAGCAAGGAATGTGCCCCCAGACACATGCAAATGGCTGCGGAGCTGGTAGGACGGAGTAAGGCACGTAGGGCTTTGCACTGGGTGCATTTGGCACAGCTGCCAGTTGCTAAGGTTACCTGTGCACAGCAATGATCTCAACCTGTCAAACTCCAGAAGCACGCCAGAGCAGTTGGTATCCTCAGTTACACGCGTGTGGGACTCTTCCAGCAGACAGCTACGGTGGTGTCAGCGCTCCCGAGTTTTTTTTTAATAAAGGGCATGCCTAGACATAAGTAAACCTGGGGCATTCCTCCTTCCAACATCACATCTGTTTCTTGCTAACTTTCACAATCCTGCTTTTTAAAATTCTAATTGAAATAACCACGTGCTTTATAGCTGCATCAGCAACCTTTTGTGAAAGAGTGCCAGCATGTAAAACTGTCAAAATTGAGGAAACCAGTTGCTTTTTCTTAATGACTAGCTTTTCTCTGTGTTCTCCAGGTTTCCCAGAACCTGTCTCTTGGAGTATTTTCATTTCTTTATTGCCATACTCAAGCACTTTCTACACATGAATTGGCTGGCTTCGGGTTTTTTTTTCCCCTGGTTATAATGGATGCTGCCATCCTGCA